AGTCTTTGAATTTGTCATATTTTTAAGCTCATATTTGAAATTTTTTATGTTCTGGCAATTAACAATACTTCAAGCCAACACATCCAAAATGTGGGATTCTGGACTGGAAAACAATCTCCTTGCTTTAAATTCTCTGCTTGCCAAGTGTAAAATGTCAGCTTTGTCTCTCATATTAATAAAAACAGTCATCATACATGAGCTTCCTCTTCTCTCTAAATGTACTTTTGTTTAATTTTGGTCCTGGATTGCAAGAAGTGATTAAATTCTGGGTTTAAAAGGACTCCTGGTGGGCTGTAAAGTAGAATTGAAAGGAAACAGATGGTCTGATAGTCACAAACAGATTCTCTCTTAATTTGTTGAATTTTATAAGAAATAGAATACAAAATTCATCCTTTATAATTAAGCAAAAATATTCCTACAGATTTATAGTTGATTATACAATATGTATTTTAGAAAATATATTAGAAGTAGCCACAGTGATTTAGAACATTCAATCTGATTATTTCTAGCACCCTAAGTGATTTTCTCCCCAGGCCAACCCATGGGGAGGGTTGATCCTAAGGTTCGTTGATCAAAACCCTTCCTCAACAGGGTAACTAGTTTTCGCACAAGAGATGAATCCATTTCATCCTTCTCTCCTACTACATTATGAATATTTTACTAAGCTTTCAAACTAAAATTTTCCATATAATCATTTGACTTTTAAGTGTTTTTTAAGTGCTCAAGAATCACCATCATTTACACCTGTGCATCCCAAGGCTCTTCAAGTTGGGCTAAATTACTGCAGTGCCTTTATCATTGTTGTAAATTTAGGAAATCAACCATGAAATATTGGGCACCAAATTGAAGGCAATGATTTTCAATCTGCATTTGCTGCATGAAAGCCTCCATGTTTCAGTGTTTGGGGCATGCAAAAAACATGTCCAGTCATTTGGTGAATGATTTCTTACTTTGGTCTTCTAAGTAGTTTATGAATACCTTTAAAAAGCATTCAAACAAACTTTACCAGTTACGAAAAATACCAAAGTATATATCAAATCAACGCTCAATTTATAAACACAGAAAAACAGAAGCAAAACATTCTGTCATCTACGAAGCAATTACTTGAGAATCATATAATGAAGAACTATGGGGGACAGTGCTGTGGTGTAGCAGGTAAAGGTGCTGCCTGCAGTGCTGAAATCCCTTACGAGAGGTGATTCTAGTCCTGTCTGCTCCACTTAAGATTCAACTCCCCGCTAATGTGCCTGGGAAATCAGAAGAAGATGGCCCAAGTGCTTGGGCCCCTGCATTTACTTGGGAGATCTGGAAGAAGCTCCTGGCTCCTGGCTCCTGGCTCCTGGCTCCTGGCTCCTGGCTTCGGCTTGGCTTAGCCTCAACCATTGCACCTGGGAAGTGAACCAGCTTCTGGCTCCTGGCTTCAAATCAGCACAGCTCCGGCCATTGCAGCCATCTGGGGAGAGAACCATCGGATAGAAGACCTCTCTCTCTACCTCTACCTCTACCTCTACCTCTGCCTTTCAAATAAATAAATAAATTTTTTTAAAAAAAGTTACTACAATTTGTTAATTTATATAAGCACTGGACTTAGTATACTTTCCATTAAGTGTAAATTTATAAGCCATTACAAGACTGAAAAATGGAATATGGCATACATTACTGCATTGCAGTGGGTCAAAACATGTATCAGCCATTCTCAACATGAAGAAATCACTTCCTATAAAAAAAAAAAAAAACCCGACAACAACTTGGGAGCTCCATTCCCTCTAATTGATTCTCATGAAGAGGAAAAAAACTATTAAGGCCAAAAAATTTTTGATGTTGACCTATAAAAGACCAGTTGAGGCTTTCCCAATGCACATGTCTTCTCTGTCTTCCTGATCTTGGGTTAATAGATATTTACCCCACTTACTGCCATTCATCTTTAGGCATAATATCCTTCTCCACATCAGTTTCCCACTTCTCTATTCCCTTACATGCACATTCCCAGGCAACTCCTTGTCCATTTACCGGACTTATTTCTTGCCTATCTCTTACCTCATGTTCACATCTATCTCCTCCTGCTTTCTAGCTGTCATGTATCATCTTGGTGGTTAAGCACAGTTTTTTTTTTTTTAATTCAAAGAGCTTGTGTTGGAGTTAAACTCTATGGCTTACAAGCTGTGTGACCTGGAAAGTTTTTTAACCTCTTTGAACCTCTAGTTTCTTCACTGTAAAACAGAGATAATCACAGTACCTAATTCATAGGACCATTTTAAAGAAAACTAAAGCTAGTACTTGACACAGTTAAGTGTTTCTACTGGCTAACATTAAGAAATCCACTGTGAGGCCAGCATTATGGTGTAGAAGGCCAAGCCCCTGCCTGCAATGCAGTTCGAGTCCCTGCTTCCTACTAATGCACCTGGGAAAGCAGGAGAAGATGACCCAAGTGCTTGGGTACCTGCCACCCACGTGGGAGACCAAGATGAAGTTCTGGGCTCCTGATATTGGTCTGGCCCAGATTCAGATGTTGTGGCCATCCGAGAAGTGAACAAGTGGAAATCAACCAATCTCTCTCTCTCTCTCTCTCTCTCTCCCCCTCTCTCCTTCTCTCTCTGTAACTGCCTTTCAAGTAAATAAATAAATAAATATTTTAAAAAAGAAAGAAATCTATTGCAAAGTTCAGCTTACTTGCTTTTCATCTCCAGATTTTTGAGAGGGAAGTGTTACTCCTCTATTGTGGGAAAGAGTTAAATAAGTTTGAAAAATTGTGGCTTTGTAAAAATTAGGCTATGAGGTATAAGGAGTCTGGATATGGACAACTAAATTATTATGGTCTTGCCAATTATCATAGATCCAGATCCTCCCCTGGTGAATATAACATTTATTTTTGCTTATTTTATGACAACCAATAGGAAGAATCAGAAAAGGATCATATATTACCAACACAAAGCCAAGAGGTTTTGAGAGATTCTAGTGATAACTTAGCCCCTTTGGAGCTCCTTTTGAACAATTGTTGGTTTCCAGCAGGATGTTTGTCCCCAAGTTTCCAAATTATGTATTAAAGATAACAGTGCAACATTCTTAAAGGAAAACTTCAGTATTGCAAACTGAAGAGTCTTTTTCTGAAGTAAAGAACCACCTCCTTATTTATGCTGTAAAGGAGCTCTTCCTAAGTAAACTAATTTTGTAGTTTCAGAAGTCTTTAAATATGCTGTCAGATTTTAGTAAACCAAAAGCTTATTTTGGTCATATGCAAAATTTGAATTTTGAGGTCAGGTTCATAATAACTGTAATTACTGCAAAAACTGACAAATATCCTATTATCCATAAGAAAACATTAAAAAGTAAACACAAGTATCATATATCTTTTCCATGTGCATAGTTTTAAACAATGGAGTCCAATAAAGGAAATAACAGAAGACAGCAGTCATTTCTAAGGCTCTTAGAAATTCAGGTCTTAACAAAAGAGAGAGGTATAATTGTTCTTAGTTGAATACAAGTTCTGAAAGGAGTTTCCTCTTGAATCTGCTTTTGAGTGAGGCGTAGAAGAGGGAGAAAGCAGAGAATAAATAGCAGCGTTGAAAATGCATGGCCTCCAAAGTGAAACTGCCTGATTGATCTGCTCAGTCTCATTAGAGGCATTAAGCTGCTCTTTGAAACTTTACAATCACCGTATTTGATTGAGATTCTCAGCAACCGGATTTTTACTTTGAAATATCAGAATTAGTGTGTATAAAAAATAAGAAGGCAAGAGGCTCAGAAAGTAACTTCCAAAAGAAATGTGAAAGGTTTTATTTTTAAACCTACATTCGCTCAAATTAAGTTTTCTGAAAGTTCAGAATCAAATGGCCACGCCCACACATGGTGGACAGAGAAGACAAAGTTCAAGGTTCAAGGTTCTTGTGATTTCACATAACCTTCACTTCCACACCCAATCTTCCTAGGTGCAAATATAAACAAACCAAAAGCCAAAAACGCTAAGCAACCACCTGGAATAGCTGCTACTCTGCAGCTTTAGAAGAAGGGGGAGGGTTCAGGCACCACATCCTGAATGCACACAAGGGCTGCTGCCACTGCTGGCCTTTCTTTTGAGTTGTGAAGAACAGATCCTGGATGCACTCTCAGCTTTCACCCTAGAAAACCTTCATTCTGTTCTCAGAGCTGCTGGAAAATTGTTACTCTAAATGAAGAGCAAATGAGGGCCAGGGAGAGAACATCCTTTCATTTGAAGCAGCAGCAACTTAGGCTGCCGCTGCACACAAGAAGCCACTTGTTAGTTCCCTTCTCAGTTCTCAACGTAGCGGAGAAATTCTCGAAATCAAATGTGTTGAACGAAAAATAAAAAGTCAAATAAGGGAAAATAGGAGGGATGTGGAAATCGAGTCTTTCAAATTAAGTTTTTAAAAAACAACATTGCATCACGGTTCCCAACATCCTTTCACATTTTATCTAGTTCTAACAGGCCTTAAAGTCGAAGTTAAGCACTCCTACACACTCCCAAAATAACTCTACTGCGGGGGGGGGGGGTCCCCAGTCTTTCGAAATAATCACCGAGCTTCAGGAGGTCTCCACCCAATCCCCATCGGGTATAGCATGTGTGCCCCCATCCTTTGCAGAAGTGCACTCCTTCCCTTTGCCTCAGCACTCAGAGCACATTAGTCAAATATCTCTCTCTAGAAACTCACCAATGTGTGTGTGTGTGTGTGTGTGTGTTTTACCTAAATTCTTCACCTAACCATCAAGCGCCTACCACCACCATCACCCATTGACCACAATTCTGTAGCTTTCTTTTCCCTTTAAAGGAGAAATGTGGTGCCAACGTCGTTAAGGCAAACAAAGCTAAACTTCATGGGAAAATGAAATCGATGCAACAAAGGGAAGAAAGGGAAGGAGGGGGTGGGATGGGGGATGCGTGTATCTTCGGAAGGAGAAGCTACCAGAAGAACTTCTGCAATTTAACGGTTCTGGGGGACTAGTGTGTAGGAAAACAACAAAGGTGGGATCCCCACTCTCCTTACCGCCGTAGAGCCAGAGGAAGATGCAATATATACACGGATCACCATCCTGGAAACAGCGACTTGTGGTTGTTTGGGTCCCGAAAACGGCAGCGGAGCAGCTGCAGCAACGGCTGGAACCGAGCTAGGGGCCGAACAGAGGTTGGAAGAGGAGGGTGGGGGAAGGTGGAAGGGAAACTCGCCAGAGCCCCGCCTCCGGCCTTAGCTGCTTTCAATGGGCTTGGAGCGCTGCAGTCCCAGCCCCAAACTCCGGAAGGCACAGGCTCGTTTGCATCATTTCTAATTTTTTTTTTTAAGAGGGAATCTCGAATAGCACCGCGAGATCTGTTGAAACATTTATTTTTGACTATTCCCTCCTCCAGAAGAGGGGGCGGAGGAGAAAGAAAAAGGAAAGAACAAGGGAGCACTGAATTGAATTAGATTAAAAGGAAGCACCTTTTCCCACGGAGACTAAAAGTTCTGCGCATGACTTCCTGCTCAGAAAATGTATGCTAATAAGAAGACAGATCTTCCTTGAAAGAGCAAGCCCTGTGTTGAACAGAGACACTAGTAAGAAAACCCCTGTTCCCAAAGCCTTGCACATTTTAAGATTCCTGTTACGTGGTGATATTTCTGCTGTTAGCGAGTTGCAGGAACTGGGCACTGAAGTACTGGGCTATGCCACAGAGGGTTTAAGAAAAGTTTCAGGTTTCCCGAAGCTCAAAAAAAAGGCAGGATTGGTTTTCTTTTTGAGTTTTGTGTTTTGTTAAAATAGGGAACCCTGCTTCTGTGGGAATTTGCAAGAGGCCTCATTGGCAAATTCAAGACTGAGGAGGAAGTTGGAAAAAAATAATAATTTCTAATACTGTGTAAGAAAGTGAATGCTGCTTGTTTTGTTTCGCTTTGCTTCTTAACTGACTTGAGAAGGGAGCTTGGAGCATATGTTTCAGATGTTTAAATGGGGAACAGAGAGAGCAGATGGTTATTTTGTAGCTCTAGGGAAATGAGCAAACAATTAATAATTTCCAAAAAAGGTCCACAGACTTCCAGGTGTATTTTCAACTTCCCAAAACGTGTCAAGTGAACAAAGAAAAAGCATTTGCAAAAGAATCAGAGTGGAGAGAGTGAGTCAGGTCACCTGTCCTACTTGTTTACTTTGCCTTTGAAGTTTGCCCTTCCTCTCAGTTCTAGTGGTTTGTTATCTTTGCTTAGGCTCAATAATTGCAATAGCTTCCTAACTCTTCCCTGTCCACAGGTTCTTCCTTCTCTGATCCATCTTAAACATTGCTTCCAACTGTATGCCTTTATATGTAGTCCACACAACAACCTTCAGAGTGTATTAGTACCTTAGTCTTACAGATGAAGAAACTGAAACTCAGGAAAATAAATTTTCTAAAGTCATATAGCCAGTAATTTCCAAAATCAGGACTTGAATTAGGGTCCAACCAACTCCAAAGACCACACTCATGGCTATCATTTTAACACACTTCCTGGAACAGGGAAAGGACTCAAAACATATTCTGTATTTTGTGTCCTCAAACATCAATTTTGTGTATCACTAAGGACTGTGTGGACTGAAATATTTAAGATAAGTCTTAATTGACTATCAAACCAAACCTAAATTACATTTCCAAGGAGTCTCCACCATAATATGGCCTACACTATTCATAGAATTTTACCTGTTGCTCCCTCAAACCAAATTCCTTACACAATCATTGTTAACCCCACCATAGCAATCACCATACTTATTTCCACTTTCATGCCTTTGCTCTTCCTGGCTCACTCTTTACCTTCACTCCATTCCCTTATACCCCTTTCTAGCCCCTTTCCAAATGTTAACCTTCCCTAAGGGCAATTCAAAACCTTTACACAAATGATCAAACAGAAGTAAATCTCTGTGATCTGGCCACGCCCACCATTGTGCCTTCAGGAATATTGTTCTTGTGCTACCTAGAAGCCTGCAGGGCAGAACAACATTCTTTCTGATTTTAAATTGGCAACTCACTTAATTTGTCATATGCTGCCATAGTACAACTCCCTCCCTTCATGGTCCACATTTGCTGCATTTGAGCCTATAATCTCATTTGCGATGATGAAAAAAATAAAGAAAACTCTTCTATTCTACATAAACCCCAGGAAAAAATTAATTATCACTGGAGAATCAAATAATAGGATTAGCAGTAAGTTTGATGGACCTTCTCTGAACCTTTGTGGAGTGGGAAGACAATTTCTGAGTTAATTTCTTTTAAATGCAGATGTGTTAATCCAAGTGAAAATGTATGTAATAAACAAATTTGTGAGTAAAATATGTCTGTCATTGTTGACAGCATTTGGGATGCATTGTGTGTTGTTGAGAGGCTTTCCCAATATTTCTATCCTAAATGTTAGCATTATAGACATTTTTTACAGATTTGTTTGAAAGTCAGAGTTACACAGAGAGAGAAGGAGAGACAGAGAGAGAGAGGTCTTCCATCTGCTGGTTCACTCCCCAATTGGCCACAACAGCTAGAGCTGCGCCGATCTGAAGCCAGGAACCAGGAGCTTCTTCTGGGTCTCCCACAGGGGTACAGAAGCCCAAGAACTTGGGCCACCTTCTACTACTTTCCCAGGCCATAGCAGAGAGAGCTGGATTGGAAGCGGAACCGGCGCCCATATGGGATGCTGGCACTGCAGGCGGCGGCTTTACCAGCTATGCCACAGCACTGGCCACTATAGATGATAACTATATCATCTGCTCACTTTATTCAACCATCCCTAGAATGGAAATTCTAGAGTGATCATTTTGCCTTCATTTTTCTTCTTCATACACACTCCCCCAAAGCATTTGATCATATAATTTGGAAAGATTAAGATCTGAATAAAAATAGATCAGAGTTTTTAAATAATACTTGTGACCTATTGACACAAAAATGTGTTAACCAAATATTAATACTTTTCAAGAATACAAAATAAATGCCTACTTTGTGCAGTAAACGTAGCGAGAGCTAAAGAGAAAAAAAAAAATTACTCATACCCCCAGCATCCAAAGTAATCATTGTTGTTATGTCACTGTAAGTTCTTCTAAGCCTAGTCAGACATAAATAATGGTGAAGGTAGGCGGTGTGGGAGTGGCAGGGAGGTAGAAAGCAAATAAATCTTAAGATATGCACTTTTCATTTAGCAAATATATTTAAAATTTTTCCCAGTCAGAAAATATTTTATGGCATGTTTGAATGGGTTTCATTTTATAAACATACTGAGAATCATGTAATAAGTCTATTATTGAGCATGGTTTTTTTTGTTTTATGCTGCATAGTAACTAATGTTATAGCATAAATATATCAATAAATTCTTGTCCACCTGTCAGTCTCTTAAGAATAGATTCCTTAATGTGGAATTGCTGGCAAACTTGGATAGGCACTCAAACCCATTGTAAAAATGCTGTAATTTTAATCTCATATTTCCCTGGTCTATAATGGAAAAACAATGTTGATTTTTATATTGGACTGCTTATTAATAATTTTCAATATTAAGAATCCTCTGGGCTCTTCCCACGTATTCAAAGAATTCTGAATACTGACTCAAATAGACCAGACAACATGGTAAGTTTTTAAGGGTTTTATTCAGTGAGAGAAATGTACAGGACAGTAAGGGCTTTATTTAGGGGAGAAAGGGAAGTCTAGGGACTAAATTGGGTCCATTCCAAGCAGAGAACAGGCCAGGAGCGAGCCATGTGGAACAAGCACAAGGTTATGAGCACCCACAGGCAGCTTAGCTCAAGTAGCAAAGAGAAGGCGGAGAGCAGGCCGATAGGCCACATGCCCCAAAGGCACCGGGCAACAGGAAGGACCCACCATGTTCCAGGCCTTTTATTCACTTCCAAAGGAGTGATTACATAGTCTGATTGGCAGGTGGGCATACAGGTGGGATCAGGTAGGGGCATGAGATCACACCGGGAGTGTGGTCTTCCAGCTCACAAACCTAATTGATTTTATCCTATCTGCCTGCATACATCAGTGTCATTCAAACATTAACTGATGCCACCACAGTCATAAGAATTGGGTTGACTCCAATCAAGCTAGAGGATCTATTACAGTTTCAGTTACATGGTAGAATTGGGGTATACAGCACAGGCAGAGGGGAACACATAGAATAAGGAGACCACAGAAACGAGGAGCTCACATTTGGAAGTGCTCCATACAGGAGCCCAATAATCCGGTCGATATGAGTCATACAGGTGGCATAACATAGTAACTAGAAGAAATCTCTCGTTCGGAAATTCTACCTCAAGTTGCAATCTCTTCCTTTCTCTTCTTCCAAAACTTTTCACGGTACTCCCTGGAGGTTCCACTTTAAGATTAAAAATTTCTCTTTTGTCTTCAACCTTTGCTCTGAATGTTCTTTCCACCTCATTGCCTTAACTGATGCTTGTTTCTTGAGGACAGCACTTCCCCTTCTCAAGTGGAGAGAGATTGCCTATGTTCTCACCCCTACTCAAACTTAGGAGACTTCAGGTGGGAGGTAGTTTATCTTCATTTGCCAGGCCAAAACAAGTTGTGTTTCCTTGCTTGACAGACATCTACTGGGCAGAAGAGGCTCTTCTAATTCATCACTGAGCCCTCCAGAGATGTAATCCGCCCCCTCTTCTTACTTTGATAATTCCTCATTTTGTTGTTTAGGTGTTTGGCATTTTAAAGAAGATTTTGAAAAGTATCTTCTGGCCGGCGCCGTGGCTCACTAGGCTAATCCTCCGCCTTGCGGCGCCGGCACACCGGATTCTGTCCCGGTTGCCCCTCTTCCAGGCCAGCTCTCTGCTGTGACCGGGGAGTGCAGTGGAGGATGGCCCAAGTCCTTGGGCCCTGCACCCCATGGGAGACCAGGAGAAGCACCTGGCTCCTGCCTTCGGATCAGCGTGGTGCACTGGCCGCGGCGGCCATTGGAGGGTGAACCAATGGCAAAGGAAGACCTTTCTCTCTCTCTCTCTCTCTCTCTCTCACTGTCCACTCTGCCTGTCAAAAAATAAAAAAAAAGAAAAGTATCTTCCTACATTTTTAATTGCCTTTAATAAGAGAGTTGTTCCAAATCATCTAGTCCCTATAGTGCCAGAAACAGAAAATTTCCCTATTTTTAAACTTTTGAAAAAAATATTATTTGCCCCAGGATACAAAAAGACTACAAAATTGGTTAAAAAATGCTTAGTGAAATATCTGTGAAATATTCCTGTTAATTTAATGAAATATTAAATTTTTGTATTTATAAAAATGTTATTTTATGTGAAAACTTAGAGTTTACAGATTTTTTTTCCCACATCAACAGTATTCCCAAGGATAAGCCAGGGCTACAGAGAATTCACTGTGAAGCATACTTTTATGAATTTTTTGTGGTTGAATAATTTTAAATATAAGAACAGTATTATAAAAATCATAGTTTATGTTTAATATGTCTAATATTTGTATTTCAGTTGGATTTTAGATAAATTTGCATTTTTATGTTTGACACACTGTGAATTAGTGTTCTTAAAATAAGGGTGACTGGGTTCTTGATGGTCTTCAAAGAGAGTTGATTGTTGAATGATTCCCCAATGGTATCAC